ATAGAATACAGTATATAGCCTACATAAACAGAATATATAGACATAAACACATTTTTTGCAATGATAACTCAAATGTGGTGATCAAACACATATAATGATGTGACAAACATAGGCCTATGTAATGGAGGCAGGGTATTTAACAATTTAACAATAAACTTTATTATTCAAAGTGAGTCTGACATCAGTGCATTTAACAGTAAAGTTCACTTCACTTATTATAAATAACTTAAATGACACAAATAGAACAAAATATATATAACTTGAAGAAATTAAACAGGGTAACTGTGTAGGACAAGCAAGCTACTGCCAAACCAACAGGGGCAGGTTTATGCAGGAAGCACAGCTTTTCCAAATGTAAACATCCAAAATGAATAAATAATAATAATGAATAATATTTTTTTTCACAAACTCTGTGTTTTGCATTTCCTGGTAATCCAATGAACATGCAGGACATTCATATTTAAATCCTCTTTTTGCAGTTTAATATTCACAGACAGTCTATATATATATATATGTACTGACCTGTTTTTTATTTATTCATCAAAAAGAAGACAAATTCCATGAAATTACACGTTATACAGTAAATTCCGTTTTTATGACTGGATTCTGCAATTCCGTCCATGTTTTCTGCATCTCGGAAATCATAGGGCCCTACTAATGTAGCAAACGAGTATGATAAGCTCATTGTGAGAGTAAAAGACGGGGACATTGATACTTAGCATCTTAGCATTAAGTCTCTCCAACTAGGTGACAACGTAGCGTTAAATCACCATTCAACAGTCTCAAGCCACCGCCGTCTATTCGTCTATTGGACAGCAAAAAGATACTAACTTTTCAATCTGCTATGTTACTGACTGTACTGACAAACTTTGCTGACACCGTGTCTGCGCTGCAACAGAACGCGACAAAGCGACTGTTGAAAATCATTTGAACTTCTGTCAGCACGTCATAAATAGAATGAGGCATCAGTTTACTGAATCCTCGACAAAATACAATAGAATTCTATTGTATTTTGTCGCGCCACGCGATGTGATGTGACCGATGTGATAAGCATGAGTTCGGGGCCGCGGCGCGACTGATAAACACCAGCATTGAGTGGCCGCGATCAGCTCCGGTGGCCGTAACACAGGCTTTAATGCGCCGCAGACGCGTGCCGTGATGCGCAGATCAGCTCTAGTCTCTAACGTCACTGAATCTGCTGTTAAAATGAACCATCATATCATCATGCAAAACTAAGAATTTGAATCATTGTAATGTGATGATCAAATATAGGTGCGGGTGGGTGGCGGGCTGATCATTTGAAGCAGCGGACTCGGGTGAGGTTTGAGCTCATTCGCGCATCTCTACACTACACTGACCTGGGTCGCCAGTAGCAAACAATGGAGCACGCTCTGCTGGACAAACAAAGTAATTACACTATTCAGAAGCATTTAATCTGTGTTATATGTTCTGTAAAAAAATTATCATATCGGCGGCATATTCGCCGATACCGAAATATCGGCGACAGGCTCATATCGGCCAATAATATCGGCTAAACGATATATCGGTCGGGCTCTAGTTATTAACATCAAGCATAGCATAAAATTTCAATTATTTTTGTCTGAAAACTGTAAAAAAAATAATAATAATAATAAGTTTTTCATAACCATATGAAACCAACATGAATAGAAAGAGTACATTTTAACTAGATACCAAATTAGTTTTAAAATCTCTCCTTTTCTTTATCTTGGACAATCTGATTCAGGAATAGTGACAAAAGCATCACTAATTAAAAAACAGGCTGAAATGCTGACAGTGACATGCTGTGCAAACTTTTCTGTTGCATTATTTTATCAATAACAATCCCATATTGCCATTTACTTCTTATCTAACTGGTTATGATAATTCTGGCTATAAAGTCCTTTAACCTATGATAGTGACTGGGAGGATAATAAATGGCAGATTAAACACAAATAATGCAAACAAAGGAGAACTCAATCAACATCTGCACCATGCTGGATATCTGTTTGTCATTTGTCAGAAATGTTTATGGCTAATGATGGTTAGATTACAAGTCCCGAAGAACTGGCAGACATTATAAACACCCACTAGTGTTAACCATTCTCTATTAGCAGAGAGCATAGATTACATAGATTACCAGAGCGCCGAGACACAGGATACGCTAGTTGTGTCAACTAATCCACATCACAAGCTTATTCCCACCATAGATGCTTCCACAAAGTATGTGATTTCTGCGAGTGCCTCCCGCTGTAATTGTGCCTCGTGTGTACACCGCTGATAACATTATCGTGAAAAAGGGCTCCAACTGACTCTTCAGTTGCCATAAAACTATCTATTAGACTTTTGAGACTTGTAAAAGCTCTTTTGCTCATGTTATCAATAGTAACACCCCGATAAGCAGCCCTCAATGACACAGAACCCAGCTCTGCTGTTTGCTCTTTAGAAGGTGAGAAAAAAACTGCATTATACTGGCCATATCAGCCGACTTTGCCCTGCACATTTAAATGCTGACCACCCATTATTAGGAATATAATATAATATAATATATAATTTTTCCCCAAGAAAGCAACTAGACAGTTTGATGGTATCTCCAAAAATAAATTAATTTCAATAATCATTAATTATATAATAAAACTCTGGATAATTAATATATTATTATTATTAGGAGATTTTTTTTGAAGATACCACTAAAACTCTAAATAAATAAATAAATAATTACAGTGAGTCCAAAGTCTTGATGGTATCTCCAAATAATAACTTTTTATTAATTACATAATACAATTTTGGATAATTAGTAATTATATTAAATAATTTATATTTTACATTTATTTACATAAATATTATTATTGTTATTATTATTTGGAGATATACTTTGAAGATACCATCAATCGTTTGGACTTGTTCCACTGGAAACATTAAATAAATAAATAAATATATAAATAAAGAGAGTATTATTAATTTTTATGACGTGAATTGTTTTATATTTATATAATACAATTTTGGATAATTAACCATTTTCATTTTTAAAATTTTACATATATTTACATAAATGTAATAATAATAATAATAATAATAATAATTATTATTATTATTAGTAGGGGATATACTTTGAAGATACCATCAAAAGTTTGGACTTGTTCCACTGGAAACCATACATACATAAAGTGAGTCTAAAGTTTTGATGATATCTCCAAATAATAACCCTTTTATTCATTTTCATTATGTTAATTGTATTATATTTATATAATACAATTTTGGATGATTAATCTTTTTTTAAATTTTATTTACATTAATATAATAATAATAATAATTATTATTATTATCATATGGGGATATACTTTAAGATACCACCAAAAGTTTGGACTTGTTCCACTGGAAACAAAAACAAACAAGACAAAGTGTCCAAAGTTTTGATGGAATCTCCAAATAATAAATAACTATTTCATTACTTATATAGGTCAAATGTTACTGCAAATAAGGAATTTATGTCCTCATTTGTCACAAAAATGCGTACACACACACACACACACACCATTATAAAAGGCTACAGCTCAGATTGTCCTAATGATGCTCCATGACTTATCAATTAAGAGCATTGTTTTCCAGAGATAAACACAAGAGGAACAGAAGGCAAAACAGCCTTTGACTTCACACACACACACACACACACACACCTGCACTTCAATCCAAACACTTAATGCTCAACACAGCAAATATACCTCCCTGCATGAGCAAAGGCCTCAAACGCTGCCGTTTACTCAACACTCCAGAGTTGAGTAAGCTATTTTATTCCAAAGCTATTTTATTTTATTTTATTTTATATCTGAACACTGTACATAAATGTTCAATAATGTTTAATAACAGCAATTCTTGCAAGAGGAAAACAAAAGACACTAAAAAAAATAAGTAGCAAAATGTTTTGTGAAAAACAAAAAATGTTTTGTTTGGACCTGTACCATGGTACTTTCAGGGTTTTCGAACATGGTACCAATTCTTACAAAAGAAGCAATATACACTAACACTGATACTACCATAGCACATGATACAATGGCAATAGCATGTAATAACACAACACATAAAGACTACTCTAAATACCATGTGCAGTCATTTTAATTAGCTAGATTTATTATGAAGTATTATTGAGTATTGGGATTACTATTAAGTATTGGGATTTTAAGCCCATTGTATTTTAATACATTCAGGCTACGTTTTATATTAATTTAGTTTAAAAAACAAATACAGATACGGCTACATGAAAACTTTAACGTTTACTTTGACCTTTAAATTTGAGATAACAATCATAAGAAATGTTTCTTGAGCAACAAAACAGCATATCAGAATGATTTCTGAAGGATCATGTGACACTGAAGACTGGGGTAATGATGCTGAAAATTCAGCTTTGATCACAGGAATAAATTACAATTTAAAATATATTCAAATAGAATACAGTTATTTAAAATTGTAATAATAACAGATACATTTCATAATATGACTGGTTTTACTATTGGCCTATTATATTCTATAATATTACATATTATAATTTTTGATCAAATAAATGCATCCTTTGTTAGCATAAGAGACTTAAAGAGACCCAAACTTTTATCACAACACCGTAATAATTACACGCAATATAAATTCTCTGACACCAATTACATCATGTCCACTTAATTTTTACAAGCTGTCTATTAAAGAACAATCGATATGCTTGATCAAATTACTTAATATCAATGAATCAATCATCCATTAATATTGAATCTCTATCGATTCTATCAAAATACCATGGCCCTACCATCACTCTACCACAGTACTTCTTGCAAAAGCCCTGTATTGACAGACATACTTTAAAGAGTTCATGTATGAGGGTTTTTGTTTGTTGACAAGTACAGCAAGAACTTTCCTCTCCTCTGGCAGTAATTGAACATCAGCAGAGGTTTTCCAAGAACAGGACAGATAAGGACAGATAAGATTGCCCAAAGTACGTTTCACAGGATGTGCTGCCCTCTGTCGCTCAGTTCCAACACTGCCTTCAAAACTAGCTTGATAGACAGACACAGGATTATAAGAAGGCATTGGTGTTTTTGTACTCACCAATGGGGTTGATGTCAAAGAAGTGGACTGGGGTTCTCAGGATGCTGTTGAACATGCGGTTGTGTAACGTCTCTGCTGAGTTCACCAGAGCGTTAAACATAATCAGAAAGCGCATGAAGCTAAAGATGACGGTGACTCCTGTTAAACCTAATGAACACAAGATACACAAATCTCCATTACCAATGGGAGACACATGCAACATGTCTACATTTGTACTTTACTACATCTGCTGACTTTGATCATGAGCATACCTGCATAGATGCCAAGATAGAAATCCAGGTGGAGCTCTTGAGTCGTGTTAGTGCCGAAAGTGCCATTTGTGCCGATGGTGGAACTGATGTTAGAGGAAGAAAAGTCCAGCTTCTCCTGCTCTGTGGCCCTGTCAGTCATGACATAATGACATTACGGTAGCTGGCAAACACCTGAACAACATGTCCATTCTGTACTGTCCATCTAATGTATTAAAGGGTTAGTTCACCTAAAAATTAAAATTAGCCCATGTTTTACGTGGATATTTTTCTTACAATGCATCGATTTGCTACAGGAGGCCTTTATTCACCCCCGGAGCCGTGTGATGCACATTTTGATATGGATGGATGCGCTTTATTTGACTACTTTTGGACTGTTGAACAAAAACACCCACCTACTCCCATTCTAACGCTTGGAAGAGCCAGGACAATTTTTTAATATACCTCCGATTGGATTCGTCTGAAAGAAGATATAAGTCATATACACCTAGGATGCTTTGAGGGTGAGTAAAACATGGACTCATTTTCAGTTTTGGGTGAACTAACCCTTTAAGCACTATTTAGGTTGTTCAAATGCAATTAGTGTACTTCGTGCACTAGTTTCTTAATTTTTGCTTCATTAAATTTAGTTATTCCATTTAAACGTATGGATAAATTTAAGCACTTTTTAGAGTGACAAGACTTGAAACTGAAACGATGTGCAAAGAAAAAGATATTTACTTTAATGAATAAATGATATTGCACTTTGTGTAATATAATAACATTATATAATGTAATAAAATAATAACATATATATTAAGGTTTATGTTTTTGAAAGAAGCCTCTTACACTCACCAAGGCTGCATTTATCTAATCACAAATACAGTAAAAAATAGTAATATTCTGAAATATTATTCCAATTTAAAATAACCATTTTCTATTTCAATATATTTTAAAATTTAATTTATTCCTGTGATCAAAGCTGAATTTTCAGCATCATTACGCCAGTCTTCAGTGTCACATGATCCAACATTTCTTATCACCAATGTTGAAAACAATTGTGCTGTTTAATATTTTTGTGGAAGCTGTGATACTTTTCTCTGGATTATATGATGAATAGAAAGTCCAAAAGATCAAGATATTAAAAAATAAATCTTTTATAACATTATAAATGTCTGTACTGTCACTTTTGATCAATTTAATGCATCCTTGTATTCATTATTTTGTTTTTTAAAATCTTACAGAAACCAAACTGCATTATGTATATTTTAAGAAAATCAAACTGAAAAAGCATTTACAGTAATGCAATGTACTTAAAAATAAAAGCATAGCAGCACAGATAATAATATTATAGATCACTCACCAGTATGAAAGCCACCAGTCATGAAGAATATAAAAAGTCTATAGAGCAGAAAATGGCATTAGCATGAAACTCTTAACTGTGAGCGAGAGGTCTTTCAGTGTATAACCGCAGTAACACTGCTGTCTCTCATACCTGTGCCAGCAAGTTGAGGAGCACAAGCAAAATCAGCATTAGGACGTTAGCTCCAGCTCTAAAATATTTCCAGTACATGTGAAGGCCGATGGTCCCCTCGGTGCGCGTCTCTTCGGCCACAGTATGCACAGGCTCTGCCTACCCATGAGGAAAAACAAGGTTAAGGCTAGATGGTATACAGATTTGTCTACTGAACATGCGCACACATCAATATAGCGTAATTTTTGTCACACTATACAACAATAATTACTGTTTTTGCATTATTGTAAGGAGTAGGTGAAGACGTTAATAAAACACAATCTAATAGGCAGAAAACTTAATTTATTCTTAGCTTCCAGTTTTAGCTGTATCCTTTCTAGCCACAACCGAAAAACAAAACATTTGATATTTTCACTTGGTGGAAATGTCTATCTTTATGATCAGACAGTGAATAACATCCCACCCATCCACTAGATGGAGCTACTGACCCATCTGAGCTGTAAATGCGAACGTTAAAGGAAAAGTTCACCCAAAAATAAATGAAAAGTCACACCTACCGGCAGCTGATCGGATTCATCTTTAACAGACAGAACAGATGAAGAGTGCGAACGGACGGAGTTCTGGGAGAGTGTGCGGCTGCGGGGGGAGCGAGCAGCCTCTCCTTTTTCACCCTCTTCTTCCTCGTCCTTCTTCAGCAGAGAGGTGAAATCCACTCCCGATCGCAGCAGCTCTGAGTATGTGCCACGTGCCACCATGTGCCCCTGGGAGAGCCGTCATGAGTTAATTAAGGCTCATTTATTCATAGGTGGAATGCAGATTGACTGGTGTGTGCTGTTACAGCTCACCTCCTTCAAAACCAGGATCTGATTTGCGGCCTTCAGGTACTGCAGCTGGTGAGTAACCAAGATCCTGGGCTTGTCCTTCAGAATACCACAAATACACCTGCAAGAACAATCAGCGCTCTTAACACTTACTGCAAAGAAACTGTGAAAACAAAAAGTGACGTGACATGTGGCCAAGTATGGTGACCCATACTTGGAATTAGTGCTCTGCATTTAACCCATCCAAAGTGCACACACACCGTGAACACACACTCGGAGCAGTGGGCAGCCAATTATGCTGCGGCACCCGGGGAGCAGTTGGGGGTTCGGTGCCTTGCTCAAGGGCACCTCAGTCGTGGTATTGAAGGTGGGAGAGAGCGCTGTACATTCACTCCCCCCACCTACAATCCCTGCCGGTCCGCAACCTTTGGGTTACAAGTCCGACTCTCTAACCATTAGGCCACGACTTCCCCTAATGGTTAACTAAACACTCTTTAGTTCAAAAATTTGGGGTTGGGAAGAATTTTTAAATGTTTTTGAAATGTTTTTTCTCTTATAAATGCAGTCGCCAAGGATCATAAATAGAGGAAAAACGGTAATAATGTGAAATATTATTACAATTTAAAATAACTGTTTTCTATTTTTAAATATCTGAAATGCAATTTATTCCTGTGATGCAAAGCTGAATTTTCAACATCATTACTCCAGTTTTCAGTGTCACATGATCCTTCAGAAATCTTTCTAATATGCCGATTTGATGCTCAAGAAACATTTCTGTTGAAAACAGATGTGCATTCATTTATTTCATACCGAAAAAGAACCTTATAATAGCAACAGTAAAACACAACAGGATCAATGAAGAGTATGGACTTACTGTTCAAACAGGTGTTTACCCACTTCTGCATCCACTGCGCTCAATGGATCATCCAAAAGGTAAATATCAGCATCCTGATACACAGCCCTAAAACCCACAGACAGTAGCAGATATGTAGCAAAATCAAATAAAACAGCTCTTAAATATTCTTTCCTATTAGCAAGTATGTACTAGTTTGCATATTAAAATTATTTTTTATTTCCATTTCATGTTATACACATTACAAAATGTCATCATTTACATGAACTATAACATCAGTATGTCCATGATGCTGTCCTCTGAATGCACACATATACATACATATATATATACACATACATACACACACACACACACACACTACCGTTCAAAAGTTTGGGATCAGTAAGATTTTTTATGTTTTTAATGGAGTCTCTTTGCTCATCAAGGCTGTATTTATTTGATCAAAAATATAGAAAAAAACAGTAATATTGTGAAATATTATTGCAATTTCTAATATTGGTTTCCTATTTTAATATACTTTAAAATATTATTTATTTTTGTAACGAAGTGCTGAATTTTCATTAGCCATTACTCTAGTCTTCAGTGTCACATGATCCTTCAGAAATCATTCTAATATGCTGATTTATTCTCAGTGTTGAAACTGTTGACCTGCTTAATATTTTTTTGGAACCTGTGATTCTTTGAATAAAAAGTTGAAAAGAACAGTATTTATTCAAAACAGAAATCTTTTCTAACAATATAAGTCTTCACTATCACTTTTAATCCATTTAACACATCCTTGCTGAATAAAAGTATTAATTTACTAAAGAAAAATATTTTACTGACCCCACACTTTTAAATACTAGTGTATGCTGTAACACAAAAGTTCTATTTTGAATAAACACTGTTCTTTTTAACTCTTTATTTATTAAAGAATTCTGAAAAAAGTATCACAGGTCCCAAAAAAATATTAAGCAGCTCAACTGTTTCCAACATTGCTAATAAATCAGCATATTAGGATGATTTCTGAAGGATCATGTGACACTGAAGACTGGAGTAATGAAAATTCAGCTTTGCATCACAGAAATAAATTATATTTTAAAGTATATTAAAACAGAAAATGTTATTTTACATTGCAATAATATTTAATAAAATAACAGGGTTTTTTCCTGTATTTTTGGTCTAATAAATACAGCCTTGATGAGCACAAGAAACTTTGGTAAAAAATATGAAAAATCTTACTGATCCCAAACTGATAGATATATACATACACACACACACACTACCGTTCAAAAGTTTGGGATCAGTAAGATTTTTCATACACACACACACACATATATATATATATATATATATATATATATATATATATAATTTTTTTTTTTATTATTTATTTTATTATTATTATTGTTTTCTCCATATATTTAGATATTTATTTATTTGCTCAAAATAATTTATCCATTAAGGTTTAATTGTATTACTGAATTTGTATAAAAACATTGAAAAATGGAAAAATTTATTTTTCCAGGTTTAATAAATGTAAATTTAATGTAAATGTAATAGTTTGGGATACCTGGCCAGGTTGACTCTAGCTTTCTGTCCTCCACTGAGATTTGCTCCTCTGTCTCCGATCACAGTCAAATCCCCGTCAGGAAGCAGCTCCATGTCCTACACCACACAGAAAGAACTACAGTATTAGTACACTACAGCTTACAATAACCTGAACTTTACAGTAGTGAAGATGTCTAGTTAAAGTTTTCTAGCTTTGGAGACAAAAATATAAAATACTAAAACTAGCAATGATGCATTAAACTGACCAAAATGGACAGTAAACGCATATAATTTTCCAAAGATTTATTTTTTGTATCATGGTTTCCACAACAATATTAAACGTTTTCAATATTAATAACAAGAAATGTTTCTTGAGCAGCAAATCAGCACATTAGAATGATTTCCGAAGGATCATGTGACACTGAAAACTGATGCAAAGCTGAATTTTCAGCATCATTACTCCACAGGAATAAATTACATTTTAAAATACATTACAATAGAAAATAGTTATTTTAAATTGTAATCATATTTGACAATACTACTGTTTTTACAGCATGCTTGATCAATAAAATGCAGCCTTGGTGAGCATAAGAGACTTCTTTCAAAAATCTTACCGAACCCTAAAGAGTAGTGCAAAGGTATGCACTTAATTTGTGATTATTTAAATTAAGTAATCAGCACACGCAATTGATCTGACAACCCCAATTACACCAAGTAAACAATAAATAATCTTACTGAGAGTTTCATTTACAAGCATATGGAAAAGATTAGAAAGGCAAGAGTGAGATGGATGAATGAACTAATACGCATCTCACCCTTTTGAGCGCACAGGCTCTGAGGACGCTCTCATATCGCTGGGGCTGCAGCTCCTTTCCGAACAGTATGTTGCTCTGAATGGTTCCTGGAAAAACCCAAGGCTGCTGGGAGGCATACGTCAGCTCACCTTTGACCTTTACCACACCCTTTTCTGCTGGAAGCTCCCCCAGAACAGTGCTGAGGAGAGAAGACTGCAGGAGAGGTGAAGATTAATAACACTCATGGCTGCCATAATCACTTCTATTTTAAATAGCAAAGCTGGAAAAGTGAAATGAGAGAATTCATTTATTGTGACTCACCTTTCCAGCCCCCACAGGACCAATAACAGCTAGAAGTTGACCGGGCTTCACAGTAAAAGATACGTTTTGTAATGTTGGCGCATCTATAGACTGAAGTAGACCCGAGAGAATATATAATAACCATTATATCATTATATCAACGAGAATATATAATAACCATTATATCATTATATCAACATAAAAAAGGGGGAACATTAGTTTCAACAGAACTTACTAAAAAAAGTGTAGGATCAGTACAATAGAAAGTAATGAATACTTTCATTCAACAAGGCTGCATTAATCTGATCAAAAGTAACAGCGATACCTTTTTCACTGTTACAACAAATTTAGATTTCAAATATATGCTACACTAATTAATACAGCTATTATCTTTGACAAAAAAACAAACAACAACACTGTAACTGAGCTAACATGCTTCTGGGATGGAAACAAGACATCCAGAGGAAATTTCGAGAAAACTTCTGCTACTTCATGGACACTATAGCAGCTTATAGTTTTGCATTTCCAAAATTATAACTCCGGGGAAGGTTTGTGTACTTTTCAAGGGCCTTGTCACAATGCACTCACCTTGTCCCAGTAGCATATGAGATCCTGTATCTCCACAGACGCCTCTTTCTTATCCTCCCGAGTAAGCGGAACGTGAGATTTCACAAGCTCATCGAGCAAGAGGAACTTCTGCACGAGAGAGAAAGACCACAGACACTTATGATGCATGAACACAAGACCATCACACACAAAAATCTGCTGTAATAACACTCTGATAGTCTAGTCGCAGTACTTTGGAGTTTCTTTGTTTAAGACAAATTACGACTGTCCGACAAGTAGAAGAAGTGGGTTCAATGTGAGGTCAAATCGGAAAATGAATCATCTGCTTTGTATATAAAGGCTCCCTTGTCTAAGCAGACACTCCATGATTACAAAATCTGCAGGTTCATGACTTGCGTAACATTAGCTGTGGCAGTGGGAACTTTGGAGTAGATCTAAAATGAACCCTTAAAATGACACCTACAGCACTTCAGCACAACCAGAGGAGCCAGAGATTTAGAAGTTATTAGTCTTGGCGAATCATCTTTCATTTCATTTATTTGTATCGAAAGCTTATTTAATAAATTTGTGTTATATGCCATAATTATAAAAATTCTATAAGTATATTTATGTTATATGAGTTTGTGAGCATCAACTTGCTCATTACTAACATGTTAGTTTTTGTCTTCTTTTGCCTTTTTCGTTGCATATTGATGAATTCGGAAATATACAGTATATATAAATAAACAAAACAACATGTATGTGTGTGTGTATATATATATATATATATATATATATATATATATATATATATA